CAGCCCGTGGCATCACGACGTGCCCAGCAGCAAGCTGTCTGTATTGTGCAGCATCGCTACAGCAAGCATGTCCAGGGCACTGGAAAATCATCAGCCTAACGAGCCAGCTCTGTGCCGTAGAAATGAGATGCGGCTGGTTTTTGACTCAGTGCAGAAACCGATAAAGACAGGATGCATCCAGAGCGACCTACATTTTCTGAGCGGCTGGCAGAAGGGAGGCAGGTGCCCCCTTGGTGCACCCCGTTCCCATGGCTACACGGCAGGATGCAAACGAGAAGCAGGAGGGACCGTCAAGCGCAGACACCGGTCCTTCGCCCCTGCTCAGCGTGCAGCGCCCTAGCTCTGCCCGGGGAGGAGCTCGACCTCCACCGTGCACGCACACGGACTTCACCATGTCCTGGCACCACATTCCGAATCTGCCCGGAGAAAGCTGGGAAGGGGGAACCAACGCTGCACTGCCAACAAGACTGGGTTAACACCGGGATCAGGGCAGCGCCTGCAGCTGGGCAGGTGAGGGCTGAGCAGCGACGGCACAGGGAGGAAAGACAGGGCCCGTCCCATCGGGCTTTTCCAGGGAAACCCGCAGCAATGCCCAAACCCTCCTTCCTCTGCTGTCAGCAAAAACCTTACAAATTACTTGGCCAAGCAATTTCCCTCCCTGTCTCATGGAGGTAAATGGGTGCCTGACGCTCAGTGTCCATGAGCACAGTAGGGCTGGGGGTCTGCACAGGCATCAGTACGCGCCCTCTGGAACAACCCCAAAACCAGTAAAATGCTATGGGAACGCCTAGACACCCGCACACCGCCAGGAACAACGTCAGGATTGCAAAACGAAGCGCTCGAGTGCTGGGGAGCTCCAGGATGGCAGGCTGTATGCTTGATCCTCTAGCAGTGAACAGCACCAGACCCAAAATCCAGACCCTGGCTCCCTCCAAACTGAACACCCCGAACCAGCACCTTGGGGGGGTGGGTGTGTTACTGTCCACAGCAGCACACCCTCTTCGCAGAGAGAACATGAAAATAATTAATAGCAGTGAAGCAATCAGTTGATGAGTTCCAAAGAAATATCTAGGGGGAAATGAAACACTATGGCTCCAAATCTGTAAAATGTTTCTGGTGGCCCACTTTTCCTTTAAACTGAAGTATTTTCAGCTCAGACCTAAAACTATTGCTAAACTGTTCCTGCCCAGTTTTTCTCCTAGATTTTTGAAGTGTTTAGGGGTTTACTTTTATATCTTTTTGATGCCTCAGATTATGTTAAGTAATTCTGCACAGCCCCGCCATGGGATCTGCTGGGCTCTTTGTGTTTTCACTTTTTTAATCAAACAATAGGGAGAAGATGCCTTGGGAATCCCCTGAGAGGCCATCTCCTGCCTTCCCCCAAGGCCCCAGTTTATAGCATTTGCCCCCTGGTTCTCTGGCTTCTGCTAAACTAGCTTTACCTTGACGTCTTTCAGAAATAAATGTGAAAGTATAGGGCAAAGGGGGACAGGAGAAAGAACAAGGTTTTACTGAAATGAATAAAAACATTTTAAGGGGACGTCAATAAACATGAGAAGCATGATGACGACCTGCTAATCATCACTCCGTTGTTCTCCCTACAAAGCCCCTTTGATTTTACAGTCCGGTTTCCTCAAACCTGCAAAGACATTTCAATGGAGACAATAGGACTGTGTGCCTACATCCTTTTTGCCCACAAAGTGTATTTCTGTGCATGCTCCGATTTGACCAGACATTTGGTACCTGTATCGCTGGAGGGTAAAAAGCAGAATGAGAGGTTTATCACCCCAATACAACAACAAATCTCTTTCAACCCAGACTAAAGAGGAAATGCCAACAGTGTCCATTTTCTCTAAGTATGAGGTTTTTTCCTTTGACAATAGGTTACAAACAGTTACTCGGCTACAGAAGGCAGCGAAGACTTGTCATTGCTGCCTCTGCTGCCCACTCCGCCCAAGGGGCTGGACCAGGGCCACAGCCAGTGAAGCTCTGGGGAGCTTTCCCTGGGATTCACGGCAGCTCAGGCTAGAAAGACACCGGGCAACTTGTCCGCTGATGGCTGCTGTCTTGGACCTGTACACCTTGTGACAGCCTCCAACAGCTGAGGGGTCGCCTCCAAGTACCGCCGTGCTACAAAGGGTGAATCCAGTTGGGTCCTGCACCCCGGGGACGCACGAGCTGGAGCGGGGTCAATAAATTTCCTTGGGCAATAAAACTGCTATGGAGAGTGATGGAGCACCGACGGGCTGAGGTATCTGTCTCGCTGCTTGCTAGAGGGGAAGAAACTGGATACGTTTCTCTTGGGACAGCAGATGCTTACATCTAGTTCTCATTCATTAAAAATAGATTTTTCTTTTTATTCTGAAGTAGACAGTTCTTCTTGAAATTTCAGTCCTCCAAACCCCATTTTGATACATGTTAAAAGTATATTCAGAACTAACAAAAAAGCCTACGGAAAAATAAACTATCTTGAGAGCAATTATGAAGCCTAAATCGTAATTTAAAGTAGACTGGAAAATAACCCAGCTCATAGTTTATGTAGTCAACTGCATGAGAATACTGTGTGATTTCATTGTTACTAATAATGAAAAAATACAGTCTGGGTCTCGTCTCTTTCAAATAGCCTGGAAAAACGCATTCAGAGGTATGGATCACACAGAGATTAAGAATGATTTTAGCAACTCATTATTTTTAATGGTCTCATTATAAACTTATTCCTGTAACTCAAGAGGTTTTTGAAAAATAATTTTTTGTGTTAAAATCTAAGATATGTGAGGTTACAAGGTAGCAACGTGCTGCTATAATCATCATCATTGGCCTAGAGCGGCTGCAGGAGTCTGCTAATTGTTTTTCAAGTAGAGAGATGAATTTAATTGCATATAGTTAATCCCTTTCTTAAACAATTCTTGTAATGCTTTTTTGTATTACCTACAGTACGGTTACAAGGGTGCCAACAGCCTACCAGTATTTTTCAAGACTACACTGTGATGTTTACACACTTTCTGTATGGATTAAGAGCAGTTAATATAGCTCCTTGAGTTAACAGATGATCAAGAGTGACCTTTTCCCGTCAAAACACAAAAACTGATGGAGGCGCAGGGCACTGACTGCCGCGAAAACAGACCATCAGCACCAGGATGCAGACACGACGAGGTAGGTGTGAAACCCCACAGACGGCGCCATGTGGCACGCCGACCGCGGCTGCGAAACGGACCCTGAAGTCACGAAATCAAGTGTCCGAAAGTCAGGAAAGAGCAGACCAAAGGCTG